TCAGAAGGAGGGGCTTCATAGAGACAGGAAGTAAACAGAGCGTTACTGACAGACTGGGAAGAGAGGAGCCGCAACAATGGAGAATATGAGGAGAATAATCAACATTCAAGCAGGAAAACTTGTTCTAGAGCCTGAAACTACACTAATGACCTCTTTCTCAATCACTCCAGGCTGGGTCGATATATCAGACCTGCAGGTGTGACACTAAACTCATTAGGTGAGGGTCACAGGAGAGCGATTAAAGATCAACGCCTCATAATACACTGGGAATTACTGCAAACTGTTATCAATATCATTCACACTGCAAAAAAAGAAAAGAAAAAAAAAGATTTCTTCCTCAGTGTTTCTGTCTCGCTTTCCAGCACAAACATCTAAACATTCTTAAATCAAGAGACATTTACTGGAGAAGAAGCAAAAAGACTGAAGATATTAGGTAAAAAATAATTAAGTTAGTTTGTGCTTAAAACAAGAAAATAAAACACTTAGTTTAAAGAGAAAACAACGTTTATTTGTCTGCCCCCATCGGAAGATATTTATTCTTGTTTTCAGCAAAAACTCACTTCACTTTGATAGATTTTTCAGAAAATAAGACCATTTCTGTAATCCATGTTCAGATCTACAATTATTACATCCAAATGTCAAACTAAATGTTTTCTCCTAGTTTCTCTAGATGTGTGTTTGATTGTTTTTGTTTCAGAATGTCAGACTCTGGTTTCTGTTTCAGATCCTCTTCAACAACAAACAACAGAATGTCTGGAGCCGCAAGAACACACACACACACACACACACACACACACACACACACACACACACACACACACACACACACACACACACACACACACACACACACACACACACACACACACACCTGTGTTTGAAGAAAAACACATCAGTCACATGACTCACCCGGGGCGTCTAGACCAGACCGACCAACGTCATCGCTGAAACATAATTAGCTATTGTTGTTTAATACAGTGTCTAACTTAAATGTCTTAGTAGGAACCCATCAGTCATCAAGAAATACATATGAAACATTGCGTGTTTTTTTTATCATGTTTAGTCACCGTGTAATTCACGCGACACTGATATTTAAAGTGAAATCAGAAAACAGCAAACATTTCTTTATCTTAATTTATTACCTAAAAAGAAATAAAAACTAAATTGCAAGCCACACAAATGTATTGCTCATGAAAAAAACAAACAAAATAAAGTACTATCCCAGCCAACAAAAATATGTTCCAAGAAAGTGAACGGAAGAACATTCCACAAACATGACGAGAACGTTCCAAAACGGGTAACATTTAAAAAAAAAATCAAAGTAAAATGTTCTGAGTTTAAAAAAAAAATCAAAGTAAAATGTTCTGAGACCGTTCCATGTGAGCGGGGATGTTTACATTGTGACAAGAAAAAGAGAAAGAAAGAAAAGTAACACAAAACCACAGTTTCACAGTTAACAGATGGTTTTATAAATTAATACAGTCGATTGAATGAATGTGCGACACGAGGGAACATAACCATCGCTTCATGCCTGAGAGATAATATCAGGATCTGATGCATAAACAGCACACACACACACACACACACAAACACACACGACAGACGAAGACGACACAAGATCAGATCAGTCCCTCATCAGTTCCCGATCCCACAGTCTGGCAGGAACAGGGAAACATTCACACTAGAGTTCGGGAATCCACACCGATCGAAGATTTGCATTCGCTGTTCCTGAAGATAATCAGTCACTGAGTGTGTGTCGTGCTTCACCCGCTGCCCGACAGAGAGAGAGACGAGTGAGTGTGTATTTCAGCTTTCCTTCTCTTCAGATCAACGTTTGCTTCAGGAAACTGTCCTGGAATCAGTTCTGCGGCGTTCTGTTCAAAACGCTCCGATTCGCCAGAGAAACCGAGAACAACATGAACTGAGAAATACATGGTGGACGAATCTCATAAAACATGTCAACATCATATTTCACCCCAAAGAAGATGTATTTTCCATAAAGAAATTAAGCCTATTTTTAAGCACAACTTTTAAACAAATCTTAGTTCTTGGCATCCTAAATAAAAGTTTGTATTTACATAATATATGTGTGTGTACTGTGTATAATTAAATAAATTGTATATATAAATACACACATGCACGTATATATTAAAGAAAAATGTGTCTTCTTAAATATGTGCATGCATGTGTGTGTATTTATATATACATTTTATATAATTATACACAGTACACACACATATATTATGTAAACACACATTTTAATTTTGGATGCATTAATCACGATTAATCGTTGCCCAGCACGGATATATATATTTGCATTACGGTGAAATTTAAATGTTTTGAAACATTTCACAACAGTTATTGGTCCTAAAAACAGGCTTTTTTTCCATGTTAATGTGAAAAATAATATCCATTTTCTTTCGGTTTTGGGGTGAAATATGAGCCGTTCTTGTTTTCATGAGATCCAGGATTCATAAAGGAACATAACGACCTGATCGTCTCTCAGACTGACGTACTGTCCTCTAAAACACGTATCAAAAATATCTTAATGCTCGCGAGAGAAATGAACTGTGCAAATCATCATCTCCGCAGAGTTGAACACCTGACGTGAGAATGCTACATACTGCGCTTCATAACATCAGCAAGACGACTGAGAATTATTAATCACACTGTAATAAATCATCTTCCTCACTGTTTCTGCTCGTTTTCCAGCACAAATATCAAAACGTTCTTAAATCAAGAGCAGATATGAACATTTTGGCCGATACCGATAATTCTTTATATTCGAAAGCCGATAACCGATATATTGGCCGACAAATCTAAATCCAAATTTTTATATAATTTTTGAGAGCCTGATTACAAAAACAAAAGTCTCAGCATTTAAATCCATAACCCAAACACACAATTATGATGTTCTCAGTATAATGTTATGTAGCCGATATGACAGACTTGTGTTGCGCTTTACTGTATTTTACTTTACAAAGTGATTCCAATCATATTTCCAGCAATTCAAAACCATCATGTTAACAGTGTGCATCTGAAGAGTCTCAGCTGAAGGTAATTTAAGAATGTTTAGATGTTTGTTCTGGAAAACGAGAGCATGATTTGTGACGACGAGAGCATGCCGCTCATGAGCGTCTCCTGAAGTGTTTCACAGCTCCTGCTTCTCTGCTGTGTCCGTCCGTTCCAGCAGCCGTCGTCCAGCTCAAGCCACAGCGAACTCTGCGCTCCTGTCGGACGGGCCGTCGGGTTTCCAGACCGGCTCCTGGAAGTCCAGATCCAGGGCCCCGGGGCCGCGTGTGGCCCTGCGCTCGCTCAGCCAGTGGAGCGGGGCCCGTGTGTCCCTCCGGGCCCTCCGCCGGAGCCGCCGCTGCCGCAGTAAGAGCCGCAGGTGCTCCAGCTTACAGCGCGTGGCCCTGTTCTCCGTCTGACGCACGCGCTCACCTGAGACACACACACACACACACACAACATCAGTCGCGTTAACATTACCCTGCAAATTGCACAAATAGAAATTGCGAATTCAAAATACGCACAATGGAAACCCGTAAATCTTTCAAAAACACCCATTTATCGTAAACGTTTTTGCGCTCGCATGAGGAGGTTTTTATGGAAGCTTGTTTCCGCCACAGAATGAAAAATAAAAAAAGATAATTCTGACTTTTTATCTCACAATTCTGACTTTTTTTCTCACAATTGCAAGTTTACATCTCGCAATTCTGACTTTATTTCTCAGAATTGCGAGATATAAAGTCAGAATTGCGAGATATAAAGTCAGAATTGCGAGATATAAAGTCAGAATTGCAAGATATAAAGTCGAGATTGCGTTATAAAGTCAGAATTGCGAGATATAAAGTCAGAATTGCGAGATATATAGTCAGAATTGCGTGATATAAAGTCAGAATTGCGTGATATAAAGTCAGAATTGCGTGATATAAAGTCAGAATTGCGTGATATAAAGTCAGAATTGCGTGATATAAAGTCGCAATTGCGTTATAAAGTCAGAATTGCGTGATATAAAGTCGCAATTGCGTTATAAAGTCAGAATTGCGTGATATAAAGTCGCAATTGCGTTATAAAGTCAGAATTGCGAGATAAGAAGTCAATTCTGTCTTTTTTTCTCGCAATTGCGACTATTTCTCAGAATTTCGACTTTATATCTCGCAATTACGACTTTATTTCTCACAATTCTGACTTCATATCTCGCAATTGTGAGATAAAAAGTCGCAATTATTTTTTTATTTTTTTTATTCAGTGGCGGAAACAAGCTTCCATAGGTTTTTCAGGCAATTCGAAAAATAAATATTTCGCAAAACTGCAAAGGAAACAGTTTTTGCGCATTTACAGTCACATGACGTAGACGGAGCGGTGTGTTTGGACAGAAGACGAGACAGTTCTTTATTAAACTCATAAAAGACTAAAGAATTAGAGGAATACTGGATTCTAAACCTCGAAAGAAACGCCACGATCTCGACCTCGAGCAGAACTGAGGAGGAACACAGAGAAACTCCTCAAATGAGCTGCTCTCAGTATACAGGGCTTTCCCTGACATTAATGCTGGATAACACACACACACACACGTCTCATCCATTAATAATAATAATGCCCAGTGCGGCGGCTGGATAAATGTAAATCTACCAACGTCCGTCGCCATGATTTCTGGAATGATTATCGTGAGAGGAAAAAAAAGATGTTTTTAATAATTACATCAGTTAAAGCAACACCAAGTAACTCTTCCTCTGCGGTCGCCCTACAGGTTGGAAGCGGAATTGTCCATTACCGCTGTCGTAATAATTACTAATAATTTAGCCTAGCGCAGCCGACTGTCACTCGCTGTTTATCCAGCGCCGGCTTTGGAATCATGATGACAATTCAAAAGCTACTCGGCTGCTAGGTATCTAACATTAGTTGTAGTCTACTGTCGAGTGCGCTCCACCTATCGGCAATTGTAACGCTTGCCGTAAATCAAGTCAAATTTGTAGTTTTCTTATGTCTCATTCGGACTACAGAAACATGACCTGATCTGGCAATCTTACACAGCGTGGTTATATCAGATAAAGGACCGCAAAGCGGAGGCATAAGCGGAAAATTCATTTTGGAAAATTCAAAGCGGAGGCATAAGTGCATTTCACCCTGTCACGACTCGATGAACCACTGAAACGACTTTGAAAACATTATTTTAAGGTAAAAAATCTTACTTAGTGTTGCTTTAATGGAAACGCCGTCATTTCGCAATAGTTTTTTGTTGACATTTAAAAAAAAAAAAAAAAAAAAAACGCAAAAGTTTTGCGCAAATCTGTAATGGGAACGCGCCTGACACTGCAGAACACCAGGGGCTCATTATTAAACTGTGTGTAGGGTCCTTAAAGTGTTCGAGAGCCTGAACTCCAGAAATGGCGTACGCCAGAAAACATTCAGGGTTAGAAAAAGTTCTTTCAGGAAACTATTGCAGGTCGCCACTCTATACAACAGTGATTTTATTAAACATAATTTAACAATTAAACACCCCTGTTAGACGGTGAAGTGCAACGCCTTTCAAACACACTGAAGATTCAGGACGTCAGATCTCAAAATGTTCAGTTGGCATCTTGGTTGAGATTTTCAATGAAACAATCAACATAAAAATGAGTTTTGACTTCTAAAATCTTTTTACAGTGTATTTTTATAGCAAGAACGGCACAGCAGAACACCAGGGCTCTCAAATATTTCTATTTATACATTTTTTGTAATGATTTTAATGTGATTTAAGGGCTTGACTCCATTCATGAGAATAGCATATTTAATCTAAATGTGTATATCAGATGTAAAACAGTTTAAATCATTATTTTATTAATTTGTGAACAATGCACTGTATTTATGATTATCAGGGTGTCTACAGATAAAAACAATTTATATTTAAGACCTTTTTAATGCCACTTTGAATGAAATTTAAGACCAAACCTGTGATGGAAATACACATTATATTACAAACGTATATTTAATATTTAATGTTTAACCTAAGTAATTGAAGTAATTTAATATTAACTACTTGTTTATTGAACTAAAATCAATGTTACATTTGCAATCGTGAGAATATTCAGCAAAATAGCTCCCGTCATGTTATGTTACTAAACTATATCATGTTATAAATAAAAAACTCAACATTTTGAATTTTCACCTCAGTATGTTTGTCATGTGTGTTTTTTTATGTGTGCTGCTCATTTGTTTTGATTTCTCACTATAAAATCTCTCACAGAGTATCAACAGCGCTACCAGAAATACATTATCATTATCAATCTCTGTTTATGTAATAAAATCAAGATCATTCTTACGATTCGATGCTTCACTAGTTATTTGACGGACATTGGGTGCGTCAGACTGGAGAAATTTTAGCGGTAATGTGACCAGGAATATTTAAGACCCATCGAATCTGAATTTAGGAGATTTTAATACTTTTTAAGGCCTTTTATTAGAAAAACTTTATTTAAGACATTTTAAGACTTTTTAAGGACCCGCGGCCACCCTGATTATGATTCATAATGAAGATTTAAAGTGGTTTTCCTTCTTGGATGCGAGTCTCGACAGACGGAGCACTTTCACTTTCTCATTCAAAACTATGAAAACAAAAAACATCCGCGACCGGTTTGTGAGTCACTTACAACTTACACACTACTAAATATTTTTCATGCATTATTAAACTCGAAATATTCACGATCCGGAATAAAACCGCAGACTGACTGAACTGCACTAGTAAGATCTCGTTTTCAATCCTTTAGACAAAAACATGATGTTAATGGATGTCTGTCTGTGTTGTTCAAATACAGTTTCTGAATGTTATTTTCATATAAAAACACCTTCTGTTATTCATGATTAAGTGGTATTGTATTTTACGTGAGGCAAAATAAGTTTTAGTTTATGATAGAAACCCTGGACCAGAACATCCGGACACATTAAACTCATGTCAAAATGGTTGTTGATTTAGTTTTTGCAGAGATGGTCTGATTTCTGTCCCGTCAGGCCGGATTCACCTCTTCTCCTGACGGATTATTCCTCCTCACTGTAACTGGACGTGCCGAGAATATCTTTACATACATCCGGCCCTGATTCCCGTGTAAACCTGCGGATCCTCGAGGTCTGATCTTTCCAGATGTGCTGACCCTGTCAGTGACGCTTCATCAGCATGTTTCCACTGAACACACACACACACACACACTGCGAGGCTCCTGGAGACCCCTGAGGGCCAGAGTGTCCATGAGCAAAGCTAAATAATTCCTGCAGCCAGTGTGTTGGAAAGATGTGTGAAGAGATAAGTGTGTGTGTGTGTTAGGCCAGTAGTTGCTGGTTAATGTTCACTAACGGGGTCGTGACCCTCTGAAAGCTCGGCGTGACCCCGTGGATGACCTCTGAGAGGTCACGTCTCATTCAGAGCTCAGAGAACAGAAGATGAGCACACGACGAGCCGCAACCGCCGTAAAAATGCCATTTTAGTCAGATAATTATATTTGACAATATTTTAGAGGTGTGGTTTCAGGTTTCATGAGGCAGCTCGTGTGTTTAGACTCAGTCTGACATGATGTGCTGATTTTTGCAGAACGAGCAAAAAAAGAAGTGAGCAAACACACACTGCTCGATGAATCAGAGGAGAACAGCAGAAGTGTGAGAGGATAGAGTCAGAAAACATGACTTCCTCTTACACACACACACACACACACACACACGACTCGTGGCCGTTACACCTCAGGTGTGCTTTATTTTTCAGTAATTCAACGGCCTGGAGTCAATTATTCCGCTTTTACTACGGTCACCACACCTCAAAACATTGTTTTGGTGATGCATTTCAAGACATTAGTCGGGTTTTTGTTCAGCCGGTTGTTATCTCAGAATAAACCCCCTTCAGGTGTGTGTGTGTGTGTGTTATCTCAGAATAAACCCCCTTCAGGTGTGTGTGTGTGTGTTATCTCAGAATAAACCCCTTCAGGTGTGTGTGTGTGTGTTATCTCAGAATAAACCCCCTTCAGGTGTGTGTGTGTGTGTGTTATCTCAGAATAAACCCCCTTCAGGTGTAGGTGTGTGTGTGTGTGTGTGTGTTATCTCAGAATAAACCTCTTCAGGTGTGTGTGTGTTATCTCAGAATAAACCTCTTCAGGTGTGTGTGTGTTATCTCAGAATAAACCCCCTTCAGGTGTAGGTGTGTGTGTGTGTGTGTGTGTTATCTCAGAATAAACCCCCTTCAGGTGTGTGTGTGTGTGTGTTATCTCAGAATAAACCCCCTTCAGGTGTGTGTGTGTGTGTGTGTTATCTCAGAATAAACCCCCTTCAGGTGTAGGTGTGTGTGTGTGTGTGTGTGTTATCTCAGAATAAACCCCTTCAGGTGTGTGTGTGTGTGTGTGTTATCTCAGAATAAACCCCCTTCAGGTGTGTGTGTGTGTGTATTATCTCAGAATAAACCCCTTCAGGTGTGTGTGTGTGTGTGTTATCTCAGAATAAACCCCCTTCAGGTGTAGGTGTGTGTGTGTGTGTGTGTTATCTCAGAATAAACCCCTTCAGGTGTGTGTGTGTGTGTGTGTGTGTTATCTCAGAATAAACCCCCTTCAGGTGTGTGTGTGTGTGTGTGTTTTATCTCAGAATAAACCCCCTTCAGGTGTGTGTGTGTGTGTGTGTGTTATCTCAGAATAAACCCCTTCAGGTGTGTGTGTGTGTGTGTGTGTGTGTGTTATCTCAGAATAAACCCCCTTCAGGTGTAGGTGTGTGTGTGTGTGTATGTGTGTGTTATCTCAGAATAAACCCCCTTCAGGTGTGTGTGTGTGTGTTATCGCAGAATAAACCCCCTTCAGGTGTGTGTGTGTGTGTGTGTGTTATCTCAGAATAAACCCCCTTCAGGTGTGTGTGTGTGTGTGTGTGTGTGTGTGTGTGTGTTATCTCAGAATAAACCCCTTCAGTTGTGTGTGTGTGTGTGTGTGTGTGTGATCTCAGAATAAACCCCCTCAGGCTGATGAACACCTGATCCTGATCACCCTGTCGGGTTTATTCTGAGATAACGACCGGCTGGATGTATCACGTACTTATGCCAGATCTAAAGTTTAAAGACACTTTAACAATAACTCAATAAGCTCACCGGAGGGCCGGCGCGGGCGTCCGTGCTGCTGCCCGTCGGAGGTCGGAGAAGGTGGAGGTGAACAGGTCGGAGGTGAACAGGTCGGAGGTCGGGGCGTCGGGCAGCCGAGGTGCGTCAGGGTCGGAGCCGCTCCCGGGAAGTGACGTGTGGCGCTCAAGAGGTCGTTGAGGATCTGGAGGATGGTGGTGATGTCACGGCGAGGATGCCCGCTGCCGTCCTGACAGTTCGGGTGTAGAGTACCTGTGGAGGGAGAGGTCAAGGTGAGGTCGAGAAGAGGTCAAGGTGAGGGTGAGGTGAGGTCAAGGTGAGGTCGAGAAGAGGTCAAGGTGAGGTCGAGGTGAGCCAGCTTGAAACATTAACCAAAATAAAATGGTTTGCTTGTTGACTGTGCTGTGCTTAGATCATTGCTTATTTGGTTGTATTGTATGATTTGCATTCATTCTCTGCTGTTTAGAACAGACTGACTCACTGACTCACTCACTGACTCACTCACTGACTCACTCACTGACTCACTCACTGACTCACTCACTCACTCACTCACTCACTGACTCACTCACTCACTCACTCACTCACTCACTCACTCACTCACTCACTCACTCACTCACTCACTCACTCACTCACTCACTCACTGACTCACTGACTCACTGACTCACTCACTGACTCACTGACTCACTGACTCACTCACTCACTCACTCACTCACTCACTCACACACTCACACACTCACACACTCACTCACTCACTCACACACTCACTCACACACTCACTCACTCACTCACTCACTCACTCACTCACTCACTCACTCACTCACTCACTCACTCACTCACTCACTCACTGACTCACTCACTGACTCACTCACTCACTGACTCACTCACTCACACACTCACTCACTCACTCACACACTCACTCACTCACTCACTCACTGACTCACTGACTCACTCACTCACTCACTCACTCACTCACTCACTCACTCACTCACTCACTCACTCACTCACTCACTCACTCACTGACTCACTCACTGACTCACTCACTCACTCACTCACTCACACACTCACTCACTCACTCACACACTCACACACTCACACACTCACTCACTCACTCACTCACACACTCACACACTCACTCACTCACTCACTCACTCACACACTCACTCACTCACTCACTCACTCACTCACTCACTCACTCACTCACTGACTCACTCACTGACTCACTCACTCACTCACTCACTGACTCACTCACTCACTCACTCACTCACTCACTCACTCACTCACTGACTCACTCACTCACTCACTCACTCACACACTCACACACTCACTCACTCACTCACTCACTCACTCACTCACTCACTCACTCACTCACTCACTCACTCACTCACTCACTCACTCACTCACACACACACTCACTCACTCACTCACTCACTCACTCACACACTCACTCACTCACTCACTCACACACACACTCACTCACTCACTCACTCACTCACTCACTCACTCACACACTCACTCACTCACTCACTCACTCACTCACTCACTCACACACTCACTCACTCACTCACTCACTCACTCACTCACTCACTCACTCACTCACTCACTCACTCACTCACTCACTCACTCACTCACTCACACCACCCGCATGTCATGTGTGGGGCTCCGTAAAAATATTAGCTAACCTCTAACAGTATATGAACGACACTGAATCCATGCTTTACCTGAGAAGGTTCCTGAGAAAACTCCAGGTGCGTGATTGACGAGGCTCTCGATGACGGCGCCCGGTTTGCATCGCTGTCTGTCTGTGCTGCCTTCAGCCTAACACACACACACACATACATATAAATATAAATATAAACTTAATTCAAAACGAAAACAAAATATTTTTTCCTGACCCCACTGGCAGATTTTTTTTCTGGTTTTCTCTTTATAAAACAAGACTTTTAACAGGAAAGACTGAAGCAGCTCTACCTGAGAGTGGGGCGGGGCAGGGGCGGGGCTTTGTCCACAGTGGGTGTGGTCAGTGTGTGTTGTGGGAGGAGCCAGGCCTGTCGAGGCGTCTGATTGGCTGGGAGCCCTGGAGACGGACGGCTGAGACGCCAGCTGGAGCTGAACGAACATCATGTGATCGCCCACACGCAGGGCAAGGGTCAGCGGGGACCGGCCCGACAGGAAGTCACTGACCTGGACACAAAACCAGACGATAATGAGACTTGCATGTTTAGTTTGTTAGAACATTATTATGTCATTTATTGAACATCATATCAAAGCCGCAACCGTACAGTGACCGTCACTGCAAAAAACAACCTCCTGATTCTAGTTATATCACAAACTAGACAATAATGAGATCACAACCGAATCAGAGTGAGAAAGAGCCATTTCGATATTCCGAATATTTAGTATTCAATATTATTTTAATGGTTTGCTTTGTCCAATACTGAAGATATATAGATAGATAGATAGATAGATAGATAGATAGATAGATGGATAGATTAATAAATAATCGACTATAGAATTAAATTAATAAAAAATAAATGATATGCATGAATAAAGGTATAAAAAATGAATAAAAGTGAATTGGATAAATGAATAAATAAATAAATAAATAGACTAAAGTAACTGAATGAATTAAAAAAATTAATGACTGAATGAATGAATATGAATAAATAAATACATAAAATATAACTAAATAATAAAAAAAAATAAAAAAAATTATAAGAATTGAATGAATGAATAAAAAATAAGAAATAATGAAAAAAATAAAGTAAATAACTGAATGAATAAATAAAAAAAGAGCAAATAAATAAATAAATAAATAAATGGAAAAAAATAATAACTACATTTAAAAAAATGTTTAATTAATAAATGAATGAATGGATATCTCAGTGTATGACAGTATCGGCAGATAAACCAACATCAGCAGCCGTCTGAGTTTCATTCAGAAATCAACAGCAGGTTCCCATGCGTCACTCAAACCACAGAAGCAGAAGGGCAAGTGTGTGTGTGTGTGTGTGTGTGTGTGTCCTGCATCTCCTGCTCCTTCAGACGAGATGACGGATCAGCCGAGGGAATCCTGAAGCTCTTTAAAGTCATTGAGAAACAGTCTCCTCCACTGATGATGTCACCTCACCTCATTATAATAATTAATGCGCAGAATAAAGGGGCGGGGCCTGGTTGAGTTAGTCAGTAGTGTGTTAAACTGGCGGTTATGGAAAGGGGCGGGGCATTTCCCAAACACACTCGAAGCGCTCGACCAATCACAACACACTGCTCCAGCCGACCAATCAGAGCACAGTGTGCTTTCAGAAGGAGGGGCTTCATAGAGACAGGAAGTAAACAGAGCGTTACTGACAGACTGGGAAGAGAGGAGCCGCAACAATGGAGAATATGAGGAGAATAATCAACATTCAAGCTGGAAAACTGTGTAAAAGGACACAATAAAGGCTGTGTGTCGATGTGTGTGGCATGTGGCGCTTCAGTCTCAGATATCAGTCATTGCTGTGGGTGAAGACGAGCAGCAGAGCATTCTGGGAAACTCACAACTGTTTGTTGGTTGCCTCCAGTGCATTTGCAATTCTCAGAAATCGAGGGTTGGTAGTTTGTAATGCAGTGACTGACGCGTCACGAAACCAGCAGATCTGTGCGGACGGACGTCACATGCACACAGCACTCACAATGAGGAGTTATTTGTTAACCGCATTAGATATCATCAAAACACCCACAAGAAAGATGTATTCTATAAAGCGCAAAATAAATAAAGCTGACTCGACATGAACTATTAATGATTAGTTCTACACCATTCAAGGTGCAAACAAATTACATTTAATTATAAATTAATAACTAAGCTGATAAAATGTATATGTGCAAAGCATCTGCCAAATCTTAGTTTTTTATTTTCACTGCAAAACATGATGTTCCTCCTCAGTGTTTCTGTCTCGTTTTCCAGCAATGATTCTTAAATCAAGAGACATTTACTGGAGAAGAAGCAAAATTAAGTAAAAATGTATGAGTTTGTGTTAAAACAGGAACAAATAAAAATAATCTTAATTCAAAGAGAAAACAAATTATTTTTCTGACTCCATCGGCAGATATTTTTTCTTGTTTCAAACACAAACTCACTTTATTTTAATACATTTTTGACTTAATATCTTCAGTCATTTTGCTTCTTCTCCAAAGTATCTTGATTTAAGAATGTTTAGATATTTGTGCAAAAATACTGAGGAAGAAAACAATTTTTTGCATTATTAAAATTAAAATGCATTAACTAATGTTAACAAATGAGACCTTATTGTAAAGTGTTATCAATGCAAAAATAAATAAACCATATAATGTTGCACAGTTAGAGGAGAGACTCATATCCTTTTAGTTATCATGAGAGGCGATGTGAGACATTAATCTGGACATTCACAGATTTGCACAAGGACTGAAGCTCGTTTGGGAATCAGGAGGAAACACCCTAACCCTCGATTACGAGATCCTCTGCGTTTGGCAATGCGACACCCGGAAGAGTCTGGTCTAAAGCGGTTTACATAAGCGACCGGCTGGTGTGCAGTTGGAGAGTGTGATAGCAGACGAACTCAAACGCCCTGAAACTCAAAACACACTGCTTTCCTCATCTTCATCTGTGTGTGTGTGTGTGTGTGTATAGTTTTAAACAGCATCTATTCTGCTTTCCTCTTCTTCATCAGTGTGTGATGTTGCTGTTTGATCATGTAAAGCTCCAGTTCTCCTCTATATCAGAGTCAGTGTTTCTGAACTCCTGAAACGCCTCCACTGTAGTCTCGAGTTTCTCCCGGGAACGAACACGTAACAATATTCCTCATTATAATAATTAATGCGCAGAATAAAGGGGCGGGGCCTGGTTGAGTTAGTCAGTAGTGTGTTAAACTGGCGGTTATGGAAAGGGGCGGGGCATTTCCCAAACACACTCGAAGCGCTCGACCAATCACAACACACTGCTCCAGCCGACCAATCAGAGCACAGTGTGCTTTTCAGGAGGAGGGGCTTCATAGAGACAGGAAGTAAACAGAGCGTTACTGACAGACTGGGAAGAGAGGAGCCGCAACAATGGAGAATATGAGGAGAATAATCAACATTCAAGCTGGAAAACCTGTTCTAGCACAACATGGCCTCTTTAACAGCTAACTAAATAGCATTTGAATAATTGGTTTTAACAATATTAGGGTTAGCTCATCCCTCATGTCGTTCCAAACCTGTAAGACTTTAGTTAATCTTAAAAACATAAATGAAACTGAAAGTCCACAATGCAAATGCCTTATTCAGTATCTTTGCTCTTGTTTTAAGCACAAACTCACTTCATTTTGATACTTTTTTTTTACCTAATATCTTCAGTCATTTTGCTTCTTCTCCAGTAAATGTCTCTTGATTTAAGAATGTTTAGATGTTTGTGCTGGAAAACGAGACAGAAACACTGAGGAGGAACATCATTTTTTACAAGCGTGAGCCTGTGAAATCCAAAATTCCTGAGGTGTGTGAGTGCGTGTGAGTGTGTGTGATGTGAATGAATGAAACGCTCAGTATCCGTCTCTCGGGAACGAGTGAGTCACGACGCTGAATCACTGACCACTTCAATCACAAAGACAGGCGGAGAGATCACGATCATGCAAAGCGGCTTCGGTGTGTTAGAAACATCTCGACAGCAGACAGACCGACTCACGAACACTCATGATGCCCGTTTACATGAGTTTTGAAATATAAATGTTTACGATTCGGCTTCTTCCTGCTCTTATTATGCACAGTAAATCCCTCTTATTTTTCAAGCACCTGTCATACACTCTTAAAGAGGATCTGTGACGCCAGTCTTAGTGTAGTTTCAGGCTCTACTAGAACAGGTTTTCCTGCTTGAATGTTGATTATTCTCCTCATATTCTCCATTGTTGCGGCTCCTCTCTTCCCAGTCTGTCAGTAACGCTCTGTTTACTTCCTGTCTCTATGAAGCCCCTCCTCCTGAAAAGCACACTGTGCTCTGATTGGTCGGCTGGAGCAGTGTGTTGTGATTGGTCGAGCGCTTCGAGTGTGTTTGGGAAATGTCCCGCCCCTTTCCATAACCGCCAGTTTAACACACTACTGACTAACTCAAGCAGGCCCCGCCCCTTTATTCTGCGCATTAATTATTATAATGAGGAATATTGAGACGTGTTCGTTCCCGGGAGAAACTCAAGACTTCTGGGAGTTCAGAATTAAGTCATATTAATGAGATGAACGTTGACTGGATTCGACATATTTACAAAGATAAGTACAATATTTAATGAGGAAATGTCCCACCCATTATGGGAGCAAAATAGGTTTAAGAATAGTATTTAAAAATGACTAAACAAAGCAGAAGCTTCAGGATGGTCTGGTTTGTCCCTTAAATCTCACGGTTAGGAGTGTCAGTGAAGCTCTGACTGATGTCTGAGGTTAATGACCATCGAGCGTCAGGGATCAATGCGGCGTCTTCTCTTCTGCGATCGGCCTGGAGTAAACGGCTCGCGTTAGGAAGACTCTATTGATCGCACTACGCTATTAAGAGCAAATGATTTCCAATGATGCTGAACGGAAAGGCCAGAGATTCCCCTGACAGAAAGACGAGAGCGAGGCGATGATCCTGGAGGATCTTTACAGGAGAGAGGAATAACAGTGTGTGATAAACGAGAGCTGGAGAGAAGAGAGAAATCACACTCTTCCTCAGTGTTTCCGTCTCGTTTTGTTTATGTGTCTATGTGGTGTTTTTAATACGCTTTAAGACACACCATGTGTAAGTTCATAAGTCGACAGCATTGCTGAGTATTTCCTCCTTAAAACTGCAGTGAACCAAAGACAGTCTCAAAAACACGGTTTGAAATCGCTGGTGTTTCTGACGTCACAAACGACCTTGTAACCAATCAGATCAACGTGTGATCGTCAACCAGTGGATCTCTGAGCTGAGGGAGTGAGTGGAGGCGGGGCTCATTTGCATATTCATAGAGCCGCGCATACTAAATGAGGCAAGGGTGTCGAGTTACATTCAAGCTAGACATTAAGAAACATTTCTCAAGGAAAAAACTTTTAAATATGTAATTTTGGTGATCATAGATGTGTTTTAAGGGATAAAATGATGGACTACAGGAGGACTTTAAACATAAATCAAACTCACATTTTACTAGACATGCTTCATTCAGAGAGAGAACATCAGTGAACACGCTCAAACCTGACAAAACAAACTTCCTGAAGTACCACCCACACACACACACACACACACACACACACACACACACACACGGTGTCTAGACAACAGAAGCTGTTGACGGTTGAGTCGAGGGCTGTTCTAACACACTTCACAGGAGGATTTCCAGGTTAAAAATACCTACAGCTTCACCAACCACATCTTACAGCAGATAACGGCACTCGCTCACACACACACACACACACACACACACACTCGCTCACAACAGCGAATCTACTGCACAAACGCTGCACGCTTGAGTCACACACTGCAAAAACATTTTAATATTTTAAAAATTATAATATTCGCAAATTCCTTGTTACATCTGAAATTGGTTGTTTCTCGTGTGTTTTGATGCATTGCACTTTCTAAAGGTGTACGAATGAATAGAGAAGTATTATAATGCATTATAACTGTGGTTACGATCATTCATGAGACCAATATAAGGTGCATTACAAGGAATAACTCATGCATTAAAAATATGTTTATAATGCATTATATTTAAAGGCTTTAAGCGTTTCCTTGTGTTCCTCAGAGGTAAACTGTGACACAGACGACAGAGAGAGGAGTTATAATAAGAGTTCAACTCGAGTCTGTTCTAGGAAATCATTTATCATACTTGAGTGTTTCTCTCCAAGTCTAACCACACACACACACACACACACACACACACACACACACACACACACACAAACGGACGCTGAACTGACATCAAACAGCTCAGCATTGCCAAAATGACGCACAGACCCGCTGATGGGGCAAGTCACACACACACACACACACACACACACACATATATATAAACACACATGTGGTTTCGCAGATGAAGCTGCTACACGAAGGGTCTTTTTCTGATCTGTTAAACATGAAACATTATAAAGACAATCTCATATTGTGACTCTGCAAACGCACGCGACCGGCGGGGAGATTTGCATACATGCTGCTCGTTCTCAGAGTGTGTGTGTGTGTGTGTGTCTGTGTGTGTGTGTGTGTGTGTGTGCGTGCGTTGGCGTGTTCACTGGTTGTGTTCGGCTGCTGGTGGAAATGCATTAGAATAGTGATTGTGTGAGTTCTTGTGAATGAGTGTGTGCTGGCATAAGAGGAAGTGTGTGTGACCGCAGCGAGAGCTTCACCTGAGCATCTGTGAGACTCTCCAGCGCCTGCAGGACCGACTGCTCCGAACGCCTCGACGCAGACTGCAAACACACACACACACAACATCACACACACATCGACATCACAAAAGCAGATCTTCAGATGTGTGGCCAAAAACATTCTCTTTACACTGAACTGATGCTCTTGAACTGAATCAACATCAGTGAATAAATGACACTATTGAAATTGATTCATAATTGATGAAATTTGCAACATCAACAGTTATTGACTTAATCAGGCTGGATAAAGGACACAATTGAAGTAGAATTTGATTTTTAATTAATAAAATTTGCAACATCCACACTGTTATTAAAGTGAATTGAATCAACATTAAACTGAATTGACCTGAATGACACTACTGAAACTGAATTTAATTCATATTTCATAAATCAATGAAATTCCCAACATCAACAGTTATTGAACTAAATTGAATCAACATTCAACTGTATTTGATATGGAAAATAACACAATTAAAATTTGATTCATAATTGATGAAATTTCCAACACTCAATATACATTAGGCTGAATAATCACATTATTAAAGCTGCTTTTAGCAGAACTCAACTCATTTTATCTGAATTTGTCTCATATTTAATGAAGTTTATCATGGTTAATTCTGTAATTTACCATCAGTCCGGCTTCGACGGTGGGCATCAGTGTCAGTCTGCTCCCGTCGCCCACACCGAAGTCCAGCAGCTTCCCAGAGTTCAACCTCCTGAAGAGACGGAAAACACCATCACTGAGCTTTCCCATCATGCACCTCTCCGGCACTCAACACAACCACTGAGCTTTCCCATCATGCACCTCTCCGGCACTCAACACAACCACTGAGCTTTCCCATCATGCACCTCTCCGGTACTCAACACCATCACTGAGCTTTCCCATCATGCACCTCTCCGGCACTCAACACAACCACTGAGCTTTCCCATCATGCACCTCTCCGGCACTCAACACAACCACTGAGCTTTCCCATCATGCACCTCTCTGGCACTCAACACAACCACTGAGCTTTCCCATCATGCACCTCTCCGGCACTCAACAGCTTTCCCATCATGCACCTCTCTGGCACTCAACAGCTTTCCCATCATGCACCTCTCTGGCACTCAACACCATTACTGAGCTTTCCCATCATGCACCTCTCCGGCACTCAACATTATTCTCCTGTTTATCACTATAAACTGTCAGTTCTGTATAAAGCACTGCAGAAATAAAGCTGACTCGACTATCCTGGTAACACTTTACTATTAGGTTCATTAGTCAATGTATGAACTAACATGAACTAACAATGAGCAATACATTTGTTACAGTATTTATTAATCGTTGTTAATGTTAGTTAATAAAAATCCAGCTGTTCATTGTTTGTTCATGATAGTTCACAGTGCATTAACTGATGTTAACTAACACAACCTTTGATTTTAATAATGTATTAGTAAATGTTGATTAAGATTAATAAATGCTGTATATGTGCAGATCATTCTTAGTTCATGTTAACTAAGGTAGTTATATAATGAATGAACTTATTGTAAAGTGTTACCGTTATAAATCAACTCTGAAGGATCTCAGTTTCAATACTGATAAATCATCATTAGAACAAAACAAACACATATAATTTCATTAAATAATAACAACATGCACTCTCCGAAAAAAAGGTACAAAAGCTGTCACTGGGCTGGAACCCTTTCACATGGTACATCTTTGTACCTAAAGTGCGAATATTAGGATCTCAAAGGAACATGTTGGTACCAATAGTGTACATATTAGCACCTAAATGGCACATATTAGAACATTTTGAAAGGATACAGTCCCAGTGACAGACTTTGTACCTTTTGTTCTGAGAGTGTGGTATAAATATAGAACTGATATGTTCCCTCAGAACTGATCCCGATCCCGATCCCGGACTCAGGAGACAGTAGGAGTCTGTCTTTGGGAACCCGGAGTCAACACTACTGAAGTGTATAATCAACATTAAACTGAATTTATCTGAATAAAGGACACTATTTAAATCGAATTTGATTCATAATTGACGAAATTTGCAACATCAACAGTTATTGGACTGAACTGAATAAACATTAAACAGAATTTATCTGAATAAATCTGAACAAAACACAGATAATTTCATTAAATAATAACAACATGGTATATAAATATTAGGGGTTGTACTCGCTAGTCTTGGTTATTAAAGCTTCCCCATCCCAAACTAACGTTACGCCCGTGTTGTCGTCTACTTGATCCCGTTATGATCCCCAGAACTGATCCCGGTGGACTCACGCGTCTCGGTGCAGAAGCAGGAGTCTGTCTTTGGGAACCCGGAGTTTCTCCGCGAGCCTCCTCTTCAGCCCGTCCACGGTCTCCTCCGGGGGGACCGACAGCTCGAACCGCGTCCCGGTGGTGGAGTGCACCGAGAGCTTCATGGACGAGTCGCCGAGCAGGAGCTCCGGACACCGGGTTCTGCAGCTCCGCGCCTCGGGGTTCCGCTCCATCATCCGAGAATCCCGTGATCAACGCGATATTCCTTCCGCGTCGCTGTTTTCTGTGTGTTTTCTGTGTTTCTCGGCACAGAAAGACGACAAAATATCACTATCAACAGGCCATTAGGATCCAAATATTCGTTGGACAAAAGCGCCTCGTAACGCGCTTTATTCTAAGTCTAAGCCGATTGCTTTGCTCGGTGTACTATGTGTGTGTGTGTGTGTGTGTGTGTGTAGCGCTTCTGCTGCTACATTTGTTGCGATTCCGCAGCTGACAGATCCCGCCCACCGCCACAAACAACCAATAGCGTTAGCGGACACGCTTGCCTCCCGCGTCTCAGCCAATCAGCGGTCCGCTCGTGACACCCACATGTAGGCAGCGCGCTCCAATCAGCGTCTGAACCCTGAGATCATTCATAACAGTTAAGCATTCCATTAAATAACTCAAACACTATGATCTCATTCTTGGATTGTGATTAAACTGGACTGGGCACTGTAATTCATAACATCATCACATTTTTACCACATTTTCTGAAGATTTCACACAATGACTTCTCTTCTTTCTTTCTTTCTTTCTTTCTTTCTTTCTTTCTTTCTTTCTTTCTTTCTTTCTTTCTTTCTTTCTTTCTTTCTTTCTTTTGCATATACACAGGCATTTCGTAACATAAATGATTTGATCAATGATTTCAATTAATGTATATAAATTAGGAAAATAATTAGTTTATGTTTGCCTAAGAAGAGACGTTTAGTTATTTGTGTTATTTATATTTATTAGATTTCTAGATTATCTATTTAATTAATCAATATCACTATTGTGTAGATGTGATGAACCAATATCAATAAATATAAACTGTACCTGATATATATACATAAATCTATATTAAATGCGATGTTGAATGCAGGGTGAACGGTCCTAGCACTGAGCCTTGTGGCACTCCACGCTGAACTTGCGATCGATATGACTTCATTTACTGCATTACTGTTTACATTGCATCCGAACTGTATTAGTTCTGAGGTTCTGTGACGTTATGAACACATGAATCATAGATAAATACTGTGATCTGTCAAACAGTCCTGATGAGTTTGACCTCGTTATCAGCAGTTCTAGAGATTGATGTTTATTTTGATGTGATATTAAGAATATGATGAATCATCACATCGAGTGTCACTCGTCTGCTAGGCGTGACTCAAGATCACATCCTTCTTTTTCCAATCTGCCAGTTCTTCATCACCTCGGGTTCATGTCTGTAGTGTGTGTGTGTGTGTGTGTGTGTGTGTGTGTGTTCAGTGTTACGGGACGAGTCTGCTCAAACTCAGAGGAATGTAGAGTATTTGTGCGAGTGGAAATCCCAGCCCTGTTCCTGAAGCAGAACATTCCTACAACATGACGTGTGTTGTTGTTTTACAATCCATGCCGGGTGAATTATGAAGTAATACGAGTTACTCATGGGTTAGTCAGGACGTGTGTGAAACACATTATACTTGCTTTGATAAGCCACAGTATGGATCATAGACCATCACTTTAACCCTCTGGTGATCTTCGCGTGTCGCTGAAAAAAAGAGTGAAATTTATTTTTTATTTCAATGAAATACTACTACAAGGCTACTACTTCAATGAGTACTATATTTTAGTTCACTCATTTTTTATTTATTTAATTTGGGTGTTTTTATGGGATTTTATGGCACTAAATTATATTTACACTGTAGTTATAATCCATTTATACACTTTTTGAGCTTAGACCTGAAAATTACATTTCCAGCTTAAACTGTGGTGAATCTTGAATGCTTTAGAGCGACAGACTGAAGTTTGATCTCTTATTAAAGACGACACTCGGCAGATTATTGCTGAAGTGAGAAAAGTTTAAAAAAGTGAATTTAAAGGTGCTTTATATAACTTTTTTACTCTACTAAAGCATAAAAAATACCATAACATGTTTGCAGATATTTAGGAAACATGCTGAGTTCACACACTCGTTCCTCTGATAAACACTTCTACAGCCAGTTATTTCACTTATTCTTTTACACATTCCGCGGCGTGTTGGAATGTTTGTTTTTGTTTTGGTCTGTGTGACTCCGCCCACTGCCCGTTCAGCCAATAGGGCTTCGACACGGGATGCCAGTTGGCGGGAAACACAGCGTACTGTAGCCTTGTAAACGAGCAAACAAACTGGGTCAGAGATCGCAGATTCCACACAACCTGAAAAGGCTCGATTTCAATCTAAGAATCTCTATGAACGAGAGCATATTAAACGCGGATGAATCAACTTACTCTAAGTCTCCTCAGCTTTCATTGTCCATTGCGCTGGTTGTGTTGTGTGTCTCAATCTGGCAACCCGCGTCGAGTCTGAGAAGGCGGGGAAACAACAATCTCTGATATTTTGAATTTGGACTGCAGTACCGATCTCCACCACTAGAGTCATTCTTACAGACTGCACCTTTAAAGTTACAGAATTGTACCTTTATCGTTAAGAAAAATGAGCACATTTCAATTTTAATATGAAATATATATTTTCAAAAAGGCATAAATCTAAGCCAGCTGTGCTCCAGATGTGAGTCTGATCTCTCAGTGAATGATCTTCCAGTGAGATGTTGTT